CCTCCCGGTTTCAAGCGATTCTCATGCCTCAGCCTCCCGAGTAGCTGGGACTACAGGCATGCACCACCATGCCTGGCTAATTTTTGTATTTTTAGTAGAGATGGGGTTTCACCATGTTGACCAGGCAGGTCTCAAAGTCCTGACCTCAGGTGATCTGCCCACCTCAACCTCTCAAAGTGCTGGGATTACAGGCGTGAGCCACTGCAACCAGCTTGGTTTTCTTATCTATAAATTGAGAAAGCTGGGAAGATAGTATCTGAACTACCTTCCGGCTCTTGTATTCTGTATTTTTAAGGAGAGAGAAAACTGTGTCTCTGTGTGTGTGTGTGTGTGTGTGTGTGTGTGTGTGTGTGTATATGTGTGTATACACGTATGTATACACGCGTATGTATATACACGTATGTATACACGCGTGTGTATACACGTATGTATACACGCGTGTGTATACACGCGTGTGTATACACGTGTGTATATACGCGTATGTGTATACATATGTATATACGCGTATGTGTATACACATATACACATACACACACACACACACACACAAACACGTATATATGAGAGAGATTTTTTTGTTTGAATTTCTTCTGTCAGGCTGGGAAACTGTCATCAAAAGTTTATTATGAGATACATCAAAATGATCCCCCAAACTTTACCTTAGAAAGAGAGACTACCGCTTTGCTATTACAGTTGGAAAAAATAAGTAGGTGGTCTGTACCTGGCGTACGTGTTCAGAGCCCTACAAATCTGAGTGGCGTGGAGGCTGCCCCTGGCTTCCCTCTGAGTGTGCATAGTGGTCTTGCCCATGAGCATGCTCCTGTGTCCGCAGGCTGCTGGCCCCTCAGCAAGGGTTATTGATTCTATCAAAACAACTGGGGCTAAGCAGCAATTTACTCAATCTAGCTAACGATGGGAGTGACACAGCACACCACTTTGGGAGGTCTTAAAAACTGTGCATTTCTACAGTGTGCAATACTGAGTTTCAGAGGAAAGATGAACGGTCTTAGAGTCAAACAGAACCAGGTTTGTATCCTGTTTCACCACCCATGGCTCTGTGATCTCAAGCAAGTTATTCAACCCTGTTTATCCTCAGTTTCCTCATCTGTAAATGCAGATGACACCAGCTACCACACAGGAGGCTGGGATTATATGAGACAGTGAACGTACCCAGCCTGCACAGGACCTGGTACACTGCAGGCAAACACTAAATGCTTTCCTCACTCATAAACGCCAAATGCTAATACAGAGTTTTAACTGCATACAAAACAATTTATGATTTACATATGAAAAATGTAAAACATTCCTTCTAAAGAACAACACAGTAAAAAGAATAAAAAACTAACTGCATATGAATTCTAAAACCCTTGCAAATGAGCTGTATCTCTAGCTGAAACCTTACAAGGTAACTGCCATTATCAATATTAATTTACAAACCCAAGTGATTTCAGTTGACTCAATACCTTAAATTCACGGCTTTAAAAAATGCACCCCTATATTCAGTGTAATTGTCTTACTTTTTGCAGTGATTAATGGAATCTTCTTTACTACTGCTGTTAAGAGTTGCTGGATAGTCTCTAAATGGTCTATCCTGAGAAGGATAAAAAAAAAATAAGGCAATAAATTAAATACATGTAGCAGTTTCTATAGCCATATATATGCCATATACTTAATGGATATATTCCATTCTGAGGGAATTATAATGTAAAAACATCATATTAACATGTCTTTCCTTCCATAGATTACCTTCTTTGTAAAGGAAAGGTGTTCTATGCTTAAAAAGAAAATGTCAAGACTAAATAAGATCCCAGGAATGGAAGATTATGCGCGTATTACAGACAGTTAATCTACACCTTAAAATTAAATAGCAATATAATCTTTTTGCAATGTGACTGCTACTAGGGGAGAAAAATTCTGTATGCCCATCTTAGGGTTATTACAGTTCACGCCTCCATCTACCATATTAAAGGGCTAAGTTTCTATTGTCCCCAGCGGTTTGAGATATTTAAAAGTAGCTGGTCAGAAGTGGCTTCCTGATTTAGAAATTACGAAACCTCAGAAAGCATTTTAGAAGAAGCAAAGAGTGTGTATAGCCCATGAAGAGGCAGCTAAGATTAGGCAGGCGTGTGGACACCCAGTCACAAAGCACGTATACACCTGAGTGATGGCTACAGGAGAAATTTTGCGCCCAGGGGCTCAGCAGAGAAAGCCCACGCTGGCAACCTCAACTGAAGGGAGGTCTAATCCCATCTGAGGCTTCTAAGGCTACAAATCAAGTGCCACCTCCAGTCACACCACTGTATAAAATGATGACCCTCAGCTGTGCATCACTTGTCCACTACACAGGCACAGACAGTTCCTCCCATCAAGGGCTTAGAGCTACACACACAACTCTGCACATACTCAGCTGTCACAGGTGTGACAAACACCCAAAGCGGAATTCCTTTAGGAAAGACTGGAAGAATTACTTAATGACATAGTTTCCCAGCTCAGAACTTTCTTCTGTTTTCACTGCTGTCTGACCCTCCTGAGAGAGGCAGCTCGGCCCAGGTGTTTCTGGTTCAGTCTTCACTACAAGGCAAGAGCAACAAAGAGGCAGCTGTTAGGGGTTAGCAGTGGAAGGACATGTGCAGGCACAAACAAAGCTCCTGCAGTGAAGCTCAGCAAGGAAACTGCCACTCCAGCTGTTGTGGGGACACAGCCAGGGGACTGAGATGGCTCCTATCATCCCAGGGTCATCAGACAAGGGAAGAACTGTTAGCCTGGGTCTCAGGGGGGACAACTCCAGCCTCATGACAGGGCGGGGGCAATAAAATGGCTCCTCAGATATTTCTTAAAAGGGCCACCCATACTGCTGTGTAAGATCCCTCACCCCCTCCCCACACATGTGATTTAACAATGCTACATTGAAGTACAATGCTGGTTTGTTCTAAGTTCTAATATTGTGACCTTTCCAATATCATCTCTCCAGCTAGTTTATCAACTTGCAGCATTATCTTAGCGTTCTGAGACACAAGGCAGAAAGCAAAAATCAGATCGCCTGTGCTTGGACACTGATGTTATCAATGTCAGCGTGTTGCTCTAATCCACCGTGCTATCCTGATCTACTCTTGTGGGCGGAAATGTCTCCCACTGCCAGCTCGCCAAAGTCTGGCCCCTACCTAAACCTCCTTTACCACAACTATACTCCCCAAATGAGTCCCTCTAACTTGCCACTTCTCCAAAGGGGAAGCTGAGTCTTTGTCTCTCTTGTGCCCTTAATCTGGCATCCGCTTGACTCCCCACAGCTAAAAAACCTCTACTCTTTTAAAGTCCAGGTTATAATCCATGGTCAATACAAAGTCTTGCCCTTCTCCACACCCCCTGCCAACCCTGATCAGACATCCCAAACTGCAATATTTCAGCAATCATTTCCCTGGCCACATGTCTTGTGTTTATCAATGATTGCTTGCTGTCTACAGCAATTCTTTTCAACCTTATTATAAATTTATTAAAGGACAGAAATGATCCTTTATACATCTCTGTGTTTCCCTCAATGTTAAGTCTACCATATGAGTATTTAGGACACATTTGCCAAGTGGTTGATTTGCAAATGCTGAAAATTCAAAAGATTCAGATTATGGTAATGTCCTGCATAAAACTTCTGGACATCAGAAGAGAACGTGAACGACAACAAAAAAGATAAACAACAAAACTTCTGGACAAGAACTCTGTGAGATCCTATGTACCTTTTGCAACAGCTGCTGGAGCAGAGCTGGGGACAACTGGAGTTGGGGCAGCTACAGGCAGAATGGCAGGTGGCTTGCTGGTAGAAAATGACTGAACCACTAAAGGGAGAAAAGGAGGGAGGGATATAACAAATACAGAGATTATTTTTAATGAAGGTGATCTAACTCCCAGGTGATAACCCCACATGAGACGAACAGCACACAGACAACTTGAGGACAACAGGAATTGCAAAGTCCCTTTTTACTAGTGGGTGATTATTAGGTATGAGGGTAACTGAGGTATATCTTCAACTGTAGAAACAGGAGCCTGTCACTAAACTAAGAAAGTAACAAGCCAGGCCAGGCACGGTGGCTCACGCCTGTAATCCCAGTACTTTGGGGGGCCAAGGCAGGTGGATCTTCTGAGGTCAGGAGTTCAAGACCAGACTGGGCAACATGGTGAAACCCCGTCTTTACTAAAAAAATACAAAAATTAGCCAGCTACTCAGGAGACTGAGGCATGAGAACTGCTTGAACCCAGGAGGCGGAGGTTGCAGTGAGCCGAGATCTTGCCACTGCACTCCACCCTTGGCGACAGAGCAAAACTCTGTTTCAAAAAAAAAAGGAAAGGAAAACAACAATCCAATTAATGTAAATTCTTATAAACACTTAAAATATTCCCCCTTCAACTCAACTTTAGATAAGGGCAGCTATTTAGAAGCCAACGAACATTTGGGTTTTGAGTCCTGGCGTTGGAGCCCTAGCATTCAAGGTGCAGGGAGTACCGTGATAGCTGAAGGGTGGCTGTACATGGGCAGAGCAGTCACCACCTGGTAAATGCTGAGATACGTGGAAGCGGCCACAGCACAGAGGCCCATGGGCAAGGCACTCACCTTTATTCACAGGCATCAGGATCGTCTGCACCCCTCCAGACGTGTTTACGCTGAGTGGTTTGAGCTGGCTGGGAATCGTCAGGACTGCCTGCTGGGGACTTGCTTGGCTGGAGTGAATCTTTAACAGTCCTAGAACAAATTGGAAGACAAGGCCACATCGAAGGTCAGGTGCTTCGGGAAAGTCGCTTATCCTCTGTGCCACCCATATTTTGTCATGGAGGAAGTTACCTTCCAGTAAACAAAAGAGCGAGAAGCAGGAGGCAACGGATGCTGTGGATTTCGCAATAAAACATCGGCATGACAATAATTGTTTATTTATTTACTTTTTGAGATGGAGTCTCGCTGTGTCGCCCAGGCTGACACGATCTTGGCTTACTGCAACCTCTGCCTCCCAGGTTCAAGTGATTTTCCTGCCTTGGCCTCCCAAAGTGCTAGGATTACAGACATGAGCCACTGTGCCCAGCCCCTATTTATTTTTATTTTTAGAGACAGGCTGTCGCCCAGGTTGAAAAGTGCAATGGTACGATCATAGCTCATTGTAACCTTGAACTCCTGGGCTCAAGCGATCCTCCTGTCTCAGCTTCCAGAGTAGCTGGGACTACAGGCATGCCATGACACACAGCTAATTTTTAATTTGTTTCTGTAGAGATGGGGTCTTGCTTTGTTGCCCAGGCTGGTCTTGAAACTCCTGGCCTCGGGCGATTCTCCCACCACGGCTTCCCAAAGCACTGGGATTTTTTTTTTTTTTTGAGTCGGATCTCGCTCTGTCGCCCAGGCTGGAGTGCAACGGTGCCATCTTGGCTCACTGCAACCTCCATCTCCAAGGTTCAAGCGATTCTCCTGCCTAGGCCTCCTGAGTAGCTGGGATTACAGGCACGTGCCACCACGCCCAGCTAATTTTTGTCTTTTTAGTAGAGACGGGGTTTCACCATGTTGGCCAGGCTGGTCTCGAACTCCTAACCTCAAGTGATCCACTCACCTCAGCCTCTCAGCTGGGATTACAGGCATGAGCCACCGCACCTGGCCAGCAATGGGATTATAGATGTGAACCACTGTGCCTGGCCATAATGATGGAAAGTATCCTTGTACCACAACCATGAAGTAACATATTTTTTCTAGTAAAAAGGATAAAAAGTCACCCAAAATCCTACCGCAGAGATAATCAATACTAATGTTTTCAGATAGTACTCTTCCATGTTTGTTTTCTATGACAATTTGTTTTGCACATAGCTCTGATGTGTACAAAATTTTGGATTTTGTACACAGTTCTAGATATAAAATTCTGTGTTTTGATGTCAAACATTGTCATTATCCTACTTAAAAACCTATGCTGGCTCCTGACTGCCTAAAACATATTTCCAAAATTAGCTTCAAGCATTCAAGGTCCATTTTAATCTGGTCCCAATGTATGCACATCTCCTTCCCACTGTCCCTACGTATCTAGTATGTCCATCTGTCTACACACCACACCTCATCATTTCCTAGCTCTGTGCAGCCCTTGTTTTTCAAACATCAGATGTTCTCTATGGTTTTAGAAAGGATCACTTTCTCTCATTTTATTTTAAAGGTGATTTCCATATTCCCATTTCCATGTAAAACTGTTCTAGGCATTCAGAGGGCCACTTAAAAAATCACAAAGGGCCTTTACTGTGAAGGAGTATACAAGGCACAAACAATACAAACATGTTTTAAGAAATACTTAAAAACAGTGGTCAGGCATGGTGGCTCACGCCTGTAATCCCAGCACCTTGGGAGGGCGAGGCAGCTGGACCACCTGAGGTCAGGAGTTCGAGACCAGCCTGGCCAACATGGTGAAACCCTGTCTCTACCAAAAATACAAAAAAAATAGCCGGGCATGATGGCAGGCGCCTGTAAAACAAGCTACTTGGGAGGCTGAAGCAGGAAAACCACTTGAACTCGGGAGGCGGAGGTTTCAGTAAGCCAAGATCACGCCACTGCACTCCAGCCTGGGCAATAAGAGCAGAAAA